ATTTGAACAAGGAACGGTTCAGGTTTCACTGATGAAAAACAGGACTAAAGCCTTCGTATGAACAGTACGACGCTCAATTAAGTCAGGGCTGCAAAGATTTAATGGCCAACTATGAGAACCTCAAATGAGAGATGCTATGAGACTTCAAAATGCCGGAACTCACAATCTCTGGTACTGCAGAGGTACGTTATTGACCTTTATTAGATCAGTGCCACAGCACAAGTATATAACATTTCAGAAACTAAGCCTCAAGCTTGTATTTAACTATGTATCCAGAAGTCTTTAAGAAACAGAGTGGTTTTTATCACAGAAACATGCAATATAAATGTCTATGAAATTTTTATAGCAACAATGACTCAGGCCTTTTTTTGTAGCACAGGATTTGCTGGGGTCATTCTAAGGGCAATAAAGGTTATATCTAGTTAGGCATGCTTCCTTCTTTTTTTTTTTTTTCCTCTTGTCAATGAGAGTATCACAATCTATAACCCATCCAGAGGAACACAAATGTATGTTCTTCTTGACCCAAGGTATTTTGGATTGTCTCTTCCGGGAGCTCTGATTTTTTCAAGACTTCTCATGCTTCCCCACAATTTGCCTGCAAGTGCCAGTCTGACAGGCAGATAAATATAGGCAAAAAAAAAAAAAAGTGCAAGAGCAGTTTAAGACTCCTTCATATCACATATGTAGAGTCTTATTTCCTAGCGCCTTTGACACTCCAGAGAGAAGCCTACTATTCATTTACATGGGAAAAGAACAGTGGAAAGGAACACATGATGATAGACTTCGGTTACCAAACGCGGCAGTGTATTAACTCCTCTTACATTTCAGGAAGGGGAAAGGGGGAAGGGACAACCTGCTTCTCAGTATTATTATTGTTCAATAATAATTCCAGCTGTAAAACTCTCACACACTAATAATTTTTACAATCATTTTAGAAAAGAATTGCTCTCTCCAGAGATTCTCAAGGATGAGGGTAAATTTGAACAACTGTAGTTATAAATCTAGATATTTGCTATATCTCTGAAAGGCATTATTGTATCCTAGGGAAACGTACACTGAGTACGTTAAAGCACTCAATTTCAAAGTAATCAGTGTTAGGTACCACTGACAATCTTACAGGTACATTTCAATACCCAATATCAATGATGAAACAAATTAAAGTTTTTCTGGCACATTAACTATTTTACTATGAAAAAAATTCTTATATGCTGTCATCTCTGCATGATACATTCTCAATTAATTTAAGTAGCTTTTTTAAATTATGCTACTACATGGGTAAGTTACCTGATTCAGTATACTTTAAAACAAAAAACCTGCATGTTATGTAGAGTTTTCAGGTTTGGCTGGATTAATAGGGTGGGTAGGAAAAACATACTATTTGACATCAGTCTCTTGTCTATTTCACGCAGCAGAAGCAGCAGCAATAACTACTAGCATTCTTCCTTGATACTGCTGAGCCTCCTCTTCAACACTGCAACTCAAACAACACCTGCTTCCAGAGATATTTCTGCTTCTATTTAAATGGTGAAACACACCGTTTGCCTCATTGGATCAGAAGAAACCTCAGATATTTTGGCAATAGGATCAACTGTTGTCAAAAGGGAGAGATCTCTATCAGCCTGTTGCAACTCAGACATTTTAGAGAATAAACTTGGTACAGAGGCTGAATTACCATCTCTCACGATCAGACTCATCTATTGCAGAACATGGTTCAGATACATACATTGCTTGGCTACTAGGATGAAAACTATTGCAGTAAGCACAGCTGTAGCTCTTTCATAGACAAATACAGTGGATTTTGAGAGGCCTAGGGCCCTTCCCCTTACACTTATTCCATCAAAATGACTACAGGGAAAGAAAAAGGACAATCGGGATCTCTCTCCAGGGCTCCATGCACCCTTCAAATGATTTCCACATAATAAATCACTTATTTAGAAAAATGCTACAGCAAAAGCACTCCACTAAGAGCTAACAGTCTCAGAACAACTGCATACGGTTTCTCAAATGAAATGATGAATACAGGATATTAGCTAACATTACTGAGGGCTTTTAAAGCAAAAATACAGCAAATGTGACATCCTGATTTTGCTCTTGATAACAGGAAAAAAAAAAATCATGCCATACTTACTGCAAAGTGCCAGAAAATAGATGGGAGTCAGAAAGGGGAAAAAAAGGAAAACATCAAGAAATTTAGTTTTAATCGTGTGGCAAAGAAATACATTTCAGCTGACTTAGAAAATAAACTGAGAAAGAAAAAGGAAATAATAAGAAGGAACCTCTTGTTAAAATACAAGCAGTACTGAAAATCACTTTGAATCAGTAGCCTAGGTGAGAATGAACCTGATGAGAATCTTAAGGCAGCTGCTTCCTGGGATATCTTCCACCAGATCTGGCTGGACAAATACAGTGAATTTAATTAGGGAACAATAATTCTGCAGGTGTTGACAAGTCTGCAATTCTCACTGTGGTTAGCCTAAAGACTTACAGGAGCATGAGATGCTTTGCTTCTTGTGGTTGGCAAAACAAAATAGTTATTAGCCAACAAAATAGTTATTACTGACTTAGTATCCACCTCCTTGAGTAAGAGAGACCCACTGAGAGCAGGGATTCCAGCCCATCAGAAACACATTACACTGCTTTGGATTTCTTATCCCATATTGTGGTGTGAATTCAACCTAGAGACACCATCTCCCTCAGCAACTGCCTGCATGACCAGCTAGGTCTAGACCTGCAAAACAGCATACACCTGAAACCTCCCATTCCCACTAGCAAGTCAGGAGGATAAATAGGGGAGCAAAGAAAGAACAGGGAGCTTCCTCCGGCATAAGCTTTAGCTCAAATGAGAGAACTGGCTGCCTCAAACTGCTTCTCCATCCTATGAAAGATTCACAGAGCAGGAAAAAGCTGAAGTGGAAACAACAAGCAGTTACTTCTTCAATAAGCTTGGTGGACTCCCAACCATTTCTGTCAGCAGCTGGAGCAGCAATAGCGCTAAATATGGAGAGATAAATATCTTCCCCTTGTTCGTCTGCCAACTGCTAAAGTAAGATTTGTCCCTTAGTCGCTGCCTGCTGAAAGGAGAGAGAAAGCTATTTTTGCTTCCAGTATCCCTCCCTCCACTGGGAAACGAAATAAAGCAATCAGAAAACTCTAATAATGCAAGGTCAACAAAGCCAAAGAACAGATTTCTCCTACCCTGGCAATAGGTGTCCACTTGCTTCCAGTAAACATCTGTAGAAACTTTACCTATAAAAACCTTCAGGCTAGAAAAAAAACAGACTATTGGAAACTTACATACTGGCATTAGAGCTATCAGAAAAAGTTATATATAGTGGCTGTCCTTAATGTAGAGATCTGAGATCTATCTAGTCTTAGGTAGAGGTTCAGAGCAGTTCCATACCCTGAACAGGAGATGAGATCCACAGAACATGTGGATTTTGAGCTCTATTTAACGAACCTTGCACCAGCATTTCCCAATATCACCTATTTGCACCTGTTTGAAAAAACAGAAATGTATCAGTGATTGAAGGTATCCAGGGTTAACAGCTGCCTAAATATAAGCCTTTCCTTGTATTCTTTGTGCCTTACATAAGGATTCCGATCCCCTAAAAATTATAAGCCAAGCATACAAGGCCTCCTCTAAGAGGTCAGCTCTGGCAGTCTCTCCTTCATGTGTTCCTAAGACACACCACCAAATCGATAAATTACAACTGTGATAATTTCAAGAACTCAATCATTATTTAGTAATTTAATGAGTTATAAAGGAGATCAATGCTTCCTGTCACTTTCATTATAATATAATTGTCATTCTTCAGTAAGAAAAAATGCTTGACACAAAAAGAGTCGGCTAAAATTATGTCCCCTTAACAACAGGACAGAATGGTATTTCCATCAAGACTAAAACAAACTGAAAGTTCAACAAGCTTCCTCTTAAAAAGATATTATACTACAAAAGACTCTATATTATACTTTACTGGCCTTTTAAAACTCAAACTTACAAACCTGCTCCTGACTCAGAGAGTATAACTTACAACTCACCATTCTAGATAAATGTAGATGTACAAAAGCATGCTGTTGGGTGCAGTATTCTGAAGTTTTAAGCCAGAACTTGTTATTACACGCTCAATAATTAACACTTAAATAGCTGTGTGACGAAATGTCAAATGTTGTGAAAAGCATAACTTATTTCTACCGATAGATATTAATTGGCCTGTGTTAATGACTTTTTGAACAATTACTAATGAGAAAAAATAGCCACCCCAGCACATCAGTAACATCTGTTGTTAGGGGACAATCTTCTAGCCATTAAAAAGGGGACAGAGGTGGGGGCGCAAGGGGGATATCACTGTCCAGGAAAAGAAAAGCAATTTCTCAAAGAAGATATTTGTGACTAAATTTCTATATTGTTGGCATAGTGGGAGAGAAATTCAGAAAGTGCCTCCAGCAGCTCTGCTGTATGATTAGCCTCTGTAGCGATTGGCTAATTGGAGTTCTGTATTATCCCGTATTATTCCTGCAGGGTTTAGTCATTTTGTTACACAGGACCAGGCAGCTAACCAGGGATCCTCAGTGGAGAGTGAGGCATCCTTTGAACAGACCAGCTCCTTTTCTCCACTTTTTTGGAGTGCAGAACAGTGGCAAAATGGTCAAAATATATTTTCTACCGATTAAGCTTTTATCAAAAGCATAAAGATAGGACTATATGAGTTACTTAACTTCCAAGAAGTACTAAGTATCACATATAGCCTCTCCTGCTATGAGTTACTTAACTTCTAAGAAGCACTAAGTGTCGTATATAGCCTCTCCTGCTGTATGTAAATGGAGCTAAAAATAAAATGGCTGTGCATAGGTACATTTGCTAACCAAAAACTGCTACTGTAAATTAAGTCCCAAAGTGAATGGACAATTCAAGAACTGTACTAGCATATCATTCCAGTGAAACTGCTTTAACTGAAATTCAAAAGTCACTGTGCTATAATAAAGCTTATCTCAGGACTTACCGTTATCTTGAAGGACTACTGTGGAAGCTGTTACTCTTGTTGTCTGTTTCACTTTTGTAGACTTCACCTCTTGGTTCTGGCTTCTTCTGTCCTTCCCTTTTGGAGGCTGGGGTGAGGAACTGTTTTCTCCTGGGTCACTGGATCCAATGGTAGATTTAGATTGTCGATCGTTTCCCTGAAAAGAATTGTTCATTATTATCACCGATGAATATGACCAATTTTCTTTTTAAATATTAAAAAAAAATTGAAATATTGATATCTAAGGATTGGTATCAGGTATAAAAAAGAAAAATTTACAATCAGTACACTTAAAGGGTATCTACAACAAACCAGAAAACTGTCTCATCAACTTGTTGAGGATAATTTAACCAGTCAGATCATATAACAACTCCCAGGAGAAAATAAGGCACTTATTATAGGGAAAAAATGCTTCCTTCGACGAAAAGAAACACTAGGTGAATCTATACATGCATACGTATGATATAGAGCTGTATCTCATCTATGCATATGTGTGGAAAGACACATGACTTGTACAAGATTCACTGCCTGAGCAACTGAAACAAGGGTATTAATCTGTTAAGTGGCAAAAGCGGCTGGGAGAGGATGACAGTCAGCATGTGGCAGGAACACTGACTGCCAAGTGGACGCTTAGAAAGGGGCCAGCCAACATGTCACTTCTGAATCACCTCCAAGGAAATCAGCCAGTTTCTCTGCTTCCGCAGTGGTGTATCTGGAAACAGAACCAGAAACCTGGTCCCTGTTTTCTTCCAGGGGCTTATAATGGCAATATTAATAGATCAATAACATCAATAGATCCAAAAGTAATTTACAAAAGAAAAAGGAAAACTATCAAGCAATTTTCTGAGATACACATGGGAGTCCATGTCATAAAAGCATTCACTGACTGCATTTACACTTGCGGGCATTCCATTCATTATCCATTTATTAATTCCACAAAATAATAAAATATTATCTAACTAGGACAAGATTTAATAACTAATATTTAACAAACCTTTTTCTATTGTAAGATAAACTAAGTCAAACCACCTCACTTTTATCTATGGGATTAGAGAACTCAGAGAGAGCTACATCAGCATGAACCAGAGTTACAGAGTTTGAATTAGCTCAGTTGATTCCAAGTAACTTCCTTCACCACAACAACTTTGTTGTATGTATGATCCTAGGTGTATCATTAATTGTACCAGCTAGAGTTTTTGTTATTTATATACATTTTTTCTTCCGTCTAAATCTGTTCACAAGCAACATCATAAAAGTTAAACTGTACATAACAGCCCTTTAGGGTGCTGCTTATACACTGCTATGCTGGGGAAAGAGACTACCAGCTGAACACCCTCAACATTGTCCCTCATTAAAGACTGTCAACCTTCTACTCTTGCCAGTCTAACAGACTGCATAGTTTCTTTCTAACGCAGTTCTGTTAAACTGCTCCATATAATAACAAAACACTTCACGTAGATGTGGTAGAAAGCTTTTAACCTGGATCACAGAATAGCCAAGGTTGGAAGGGACCTCTGGAAATCATCTAGTCCAACCCCCCTGCTCAAGCAGGGTCACCTAGAGCACATTGCATGTCCAGGCAGGTTTTGAGAATGAGTCTCCAGTGAAGGAGACTCTACAGCCTCTCCGGGCAACCTGTTCCAGTACTCAGTCACTCTCCCAGGAAAGAAGTTTTTCCTCATGTTCAGATGGAACTGCCTGTGTTTCAGTTTGTGCCCGTTGCCTCTTGTCCTGTCGCTGCGCACCACAGAGAAGAGTCTGGCCCCATCCTCTTGACACCCCCCCTTCAGATACTTGTACACATTGATCACATCCCCCCTCAGTCGTCTCTTCTCCAGGTTGAACAGGCCCAGCTCTCTCAGCCTTCCTTCATAGAGGGGACTGGAGCGTCTCTCCATCATCTCCCTCTGCTGGACTCTCTCCAGCAATGCCACGTCTCTCTTGTACTGGGGAGCCCAGAACTGGACACAGGACTCCAGGGGTGGCCTCCCCAGGGCTGAGGAGAGGGGCAGGATCACCTCCCTCCACCTGCTGGCAACACTCTGCCTAATGCACCCCAG